AAGAAAACTCAGTACATACTTTAATACCCTTATTTTGCAGCTAAGACACAGAGGTTCAGAGATATTATTTTGTGTCCACTCTCACACAAACCAGATCTAAGTTTTGGCTCTGCTCTTGTTCCTGCTTCCCTTGTGTAGTTCTCAAGTAGCTAAATCATGGGGTAGAAGGATTAGCCTTAGACAAGAGAAAGTAGCGCTGCTTCCATGGGGATAGGAGGAAGAGGGAGCAAGGTGTAGCTGAGCTAAGTCTGCTGTCCCAGTAGAACAGTTTTAACAGAATTATCTAGGCAGATTAGAAAGTTAGTTGTCTCAGAGACATGAGGATAAAAGGCTGTTTTTCCCTTAACTGTGCATAGTACACTTGCTGGTTTGGTGTCTGGAAAAATGGATCAACATATTTGGGAGTGGAAGAAATAGGTCAGAGGGTCCTCACAGAGGACCAGCTCAGAAAATGTACCAACGTCGACTGCCAGTTTCTGCTGGAGAAACTTGGGGCCATCTCCACTAACAAACCTTTATTCACACCCCCTGTTTTTATAGATAAGAGAGGCTGGTTGAGTAATGAGCTCTGATATTGTGATTCTCTATCTTACCAGACCCATTGTTCCCTTTTGAAATCTTTTACCAAATATTTTAAGCAGTTCCTTCCTTTTTACTACCCTTCTGTGAAATTCATAGATAATATAACTTATCTTTTCCATAAATCAACATAATGATCTAATTATAAAAGGGAGATAAAAAGAAATTGATTTAGAATACATTATGCACTTACATATGTATATGTACAATCTCTACTAAAAGACCTGCAGTTGGCAGGTACTTCTGCTTGCATCTTAAACCACTGAATGTGACAGCTACAAATGTGGGCTGACAAGGTGCCAGGTATCAGTGACTCAACACAGTATGCATTGGCATTGTTAATAACATTTTTCAAAATAGTGAACAGCTTTTAGTAAAATTCCAAATAAAGCAAAGCATAATATTCTCTTAATTTACAAGGTAATTGCCTGTGAAGTTTGTGTTTATGAATAAGATAAAATGAGATTCTAAGGCTAGTTGAACATGATACAGGGCAGGGAGAGAGGGGCACCACTGAACCCCCAAACCTGCTTGTTCTAAATAGGTTCTGCCAGTTGCCACATCAAGACAAGACATAAGAGCTTTAATGGAAAGAAACTTTAATACAATTAGTGTGCAATACAGAAAATACAAAGAATTTAGTTTCTAAATCAAACACCCAAAGTTACCCCTCCCCTCGTGGGTAAAAGTCTACCCAGAAGGGATTGGCCCAAAGCAAGGGCTGAAAGCCTGCCACAGGTCTAAAGCACCTTCTGGTGGGGACCCATAGAAAAGGGTCAGAAATGGCCAGACAATTCTGGGAGGAAAAGAGCAAAATCAAAATCAAGATAAATGCTGCCATAGTCAACCTCTCACGGGTCTCTCACCCACATCTCTTTCAACCAGTCCAGGACCAAGAAGAAGCAAGTGCAGTTTCTTCACATGTCTCTCTGCTTTATGTGGCTCCCTCAGGTCATTTTCTGGCTCTCCATCCTGCTTCCTCCTTCCTCAGATACCTCTCTTCTCTGCTTAGCTCCAGATTCCGCCAGATTCCTCTCTTCTCTGCTCAGCTCCACCCTCCTTCTGGGAGGGGGTGGGGGAGCGTGCAGGGAACCTGGGTCTACTCTGTTACACATAGATTTTTTTTTTAACCTATGTGAATATGAGGTGAGATTTGGAAATTTTGTGGGTGCAGGGTCAGACTCAGTTATATAGAATCATTCTGTGCATTTCAGAACATCTAATGTTGCTGGTCTTTAGCTACTAAATTAATATTGGTTATTTATTACTATAACAATAGAAAATAACCTCACAAATTTGTGAGTATCCGTTAGGAGAGAACAACTCCCTTAAAATAGACAGTATAAAATTGAGACTAGAACTCAGGTCTCTTTATTCCTGCTCTCCTTATCCTCAGTTCTTTTCATGGTAGGTTTGAGTGTTGCCTTCTCTAACTTTCTTAAGCAAAATTGGGTTCTTCCTCTGAGTAACAATTGAACTTTGTGCATACCTGTGTTACAAGCTATCAAATTGTTTTATCTGTCTTACTCTGTGATAAACTTCTAAAGACCTAAATACCCCACAACCCATCCCACCCTGCTATCAGGACCTACCTTACTCTCTTTTTTCAGTGTTATATTTGGAAAGCAGAAATGAATAGGTGTGTCACAGAGGCATGATGTCAAGAAAACCTTGTAATGATCTGATAAACCAGGTTTTGACAATATGAAGTAGTACCTGCTTGGTTGAATTAGAACATTTCATTTAAGGTCCCTTGCTTATTTTATGTAAAATCAATAAAAGATGAGCAGCAATAAAGAAATGGTTTGTTCTTTCATTTTGTTATACACATAATGATATTTATTATAAGTGCTACCATTTTTTTAAAAGTGAACATTATTTAATTTCCACATTCTTGTACTCACTTTAAGTCTTTTTAACCTCAGTGTCTTTTGATCTAGAAGAACTGTTTTTCTAGTGTAAGAAGTTGAAACCAGGATGTTAAATAATATAATGTGTACAAGGTTTTGAGCCTTAGTTGGAACTAGGACCAAGCAAGTCTAGGCCACAGATTTTTACATACTACTAATTCAGCTTTCCTCTGATGCTTTACATTTTTCTCTTTTATTAATATTTAATTTTCATTAAATGTTAATGTACTTTTTTTTTCTTTTCCAGAGAGTAATGCCATCTAGCTTTTTCCTGCTATTGCGGTTTTTCTTGAGAATTGATGGGGTACTTATCAGAATGAATGACACAAGACTGTATCATGAGGTATCTAATGTAATTTAGTCACATACTAATTCATGTTGTTGTAGTGTCAGTCTGAAAACTT